AGGGAGTGTGGGGAGATGAAGTATGAATGGATTTACTCTATTTATTCAGCCAAAAAAATATATATATATATATATATATATATATATATATATGTAAACACAGAAACTACATAGCAGAACTACAAATCAACCGAAGTTATATTTCAATTGGTAGGTGGGGTGGGGGCAGTATTTGTGCTCTAGCAATTTCCAGGGAAGTTCTTCTTGACCAATTGTAATTTCATGTAAATTGCTTTGGTAGGCCCCAGTATATGCTATTAATTTGATGGCATCGTGGACTTTGCAAAGCATAGCAATAACTTCAAAACTGTAATCATTCTCAAATGGAAGCCCTATCCATCTACCGATCAATTACTGTTTACTAAAGCCAAAACAAAGCCATCAAAACTCTGGCAATTGTAAGTTATTGCTTTCATGGATGATTTGTAGCTAGCTTTAACATTTAATCTGATTCCCAAATTTTATTGCTTTCATGCGTGCTTTTGTTCAAATCAAATGGTGATTGTATGGGGTTTGGAGGAAGGAATGAAAAACAGAAAACATAATGACTAGGAAAAGGATCAAGATAAATTAAAATAATATGAATAATGAATGGTTTGTTGATATACAACTTGGCTAGATGGCTTGCAGTTTGCTAACTTGGTTAGTAAGTCGTCCTATAAGTCAAATATATGAGAGCGGCGCATGTGATGTTATTGTTGACCATTCTACACATACTATTAAGGCTTCAAACCTGTCTTCCTTCTCATATGCAAGATTTCTGTAAAAGAAAATGAAACTAAAGAAATAAACAGCTGCTTGCACATGAGATCTGCACTGGATATAGGCGGAGGAATCAACAAATTGCAATTTATTTTGAGCAATCTGATTCCGATTCTGAGGGGACTTGGTGCTACACAGCAAAAGTGAAGAATGCCATCCAAAACCTTGTAAGTTCTGATTTCTTATCCTTATATATGGATTATTTTGATTTAGAACTAATTTGAGATATTCCTATAATTATTTTCATTCTTGCTTCTAATACTTGATATTAGTGAAACTAATCAAATTAATGAAGGCTAGATCAAAAAATTTATGAAGGCTGAAGCTTTAAGTTCATTTGTGAGGAAATAAATCCGTAGATTTGATCTCGTAGACTGTCATGTCAAATTCAAAAGCAAAAATGAAAGGAAATGGGGTAATATCTGGAAGGTGTTATGCCAGTGGACAAATCATTTTCATCATTATAATAATTTAATTCATCTTTTTTGTGTTTTTCCTATATGTATATATATTTGTATCAGGTTCTTCCCATTGGTTCCATGTTTGAGCAATAACAAGAAGGAAAGAGAGAGATCATTCTTGGATAATGGAAGCATCTTACTAGAGGATCTCATTGCTTCTTGTGATGGCAAATCTAATCCTATTCGGTGTTACTCTGCTGATGAGCTCATCAGGGCAACCAACAACTTCGATCCTTCTCGCATTATACAAGATTGTTCAGCCACGGAGTATAAATTTCATCATTCTATACATGTTTATGGTGGTTACAAAATGTTCAGGGGTTTCCTAGACGGCCGATCAATCATCATTAAGAAGTTCATGGGGACTGGGGATGAAGCTAGGTCCATGGCCATCCGTGACATTATCATATCAATGCAGATGAGCAACCATAAGAATGTTTTGAAACTCTTGGGCTGCTGCTTAGAGATCCCTATACCAGCTTTGGTGCATGAATATGCAATTGAAGGAGTTCTCAACGATCAAGGAGGTTTAAGGACTACTGAAAACCAATCCTCATTACCATGGAAAACTAGACTGCGCATTGCAATTCAACTTGCTAGTGCAATCTCATATTTACATTCCGCCTTTCCCAGACCCATAATTCATAGGGATCTAAAACCCAGTTCTATTTTCTTGGACCATGACTATGCTCCGAAACTCTCTAACTTTGAACTCTCCATAACCATTCCTCCTATGAAATCACATGCTGATGATGAGGTGAAAGGGACATTTGGTTTCCTTGATCCTTCCTATATGAAGTCTGGTTACATTTCAGAAAAAAGTGATGTTTATAGTTTTGGTGTGCATTTACTTGTATTTTTAACGGGACAAAAGGCTGTGGATGCATATGAGGCAGGAGAATATCAATCAATTATTGCACATGTGAAAGCTTCAGATATTGGGCAGATTCAAACAATTGCGGACCCTAAAATCTTAGGGGAGGTGGGGGGAGATGAGCAAGCACGACAGCACTTGCATGATTTCCTAGCACTGGCATTGTTATGCACCCAAGAAGAAAGTGAAGTAAGGCCAGATATGATGGATGTGGCGAAAGAACTCCTGAGAATTGAGAAGTCTATCATTTCCAAGTAATTCTCTCTAATTAACTATGCAAAGTCAAGTCGACATGGGACAACTTATTTGCCATGCACCTTCCCGTTTTGCTCTGTTTATTCAGCCGAAGCTGTTGGTTGTGTGGGGCTCTGTTGTGCATATTTTTGGTATTTCTTGTTTTTTTCTTTGTAAGTTATTGAATAATTGTGTGTTTCTGTGTCTGATAATGAAAAGGGAAAATAGTAATTTCATGTAAATTGCTTTGGTCGGCCCCACTGGACAATGATCATTCGATGGCAATGGCATCGATGACTTAACCATAGCAATAAACTTCAAAACTACCCTCTTTCTCAAATGAATTTTTTTGGTAATTTTTCAAAAAAAAAAATCATTCACTGATGTCAGGCTGACGTCATCTCCCATGAGCAGAAGCTTAGACTGATTTTGCCTTGGACCCTGCTTGGGCTTGGTGAACCTCATATGTTGCCGGAACAGGAATCGACCATTGGAGCCAATTTTGGAAGCTTAGGGGCCCTTTTGCCTGGCTGAGCTCGCGGGTGGAAGTGGTTTTAATAATGGGCCTTTTGAGGTTTTCTTGATATTACAATTTTTCTTTCAACTCAAAAGGTGATTGTTTGGGAAATTCCAACTCCACCGAACGCGTTATAAATCTAAAAAGAATCAAGTGGAGTCAAGTCAAGTCAACAGGTCTACCCTTCAGTTGGGCTCTCATGGCGTCTTAGTATATATCTTTCTAAAATAAATTTAAAACGATGGGTTTTTAGGTCCCACTGCATGTTATTCCTACCAATCATGACAAGGCATTGGCCCCGCAAAGCTCATCAATAAACTTGGAAACTGTTACAGAATTCTCAGAGAAGCTGAAACTCACGAGCTAAACTGGTGCTTGAGCACGAAATCTGCAGCATACAGGGAAGGAGATATCAACAAATTACTGTTTACTTTGGGGCAATCCGAGTCCAGTTCTAAGGAGCCTGTGTGCTAAACACAGAAATTTCAAGTGTAAACAATGGCATCCAAAGCCTCGTAAGTTTTTTTTTTAAGTCTAAAAAATATTTAGCTTTCCTTTCCTTCAAGGTTTTTTTGGTAAGTCAAAATTTTCATGCGGCTGAAGCCCAAAATTCTGTTGTAAATCAAAGTAATCCATGAATATGACGAAAGCGGCAGGACAAGTATTTTTGTTTCTTCCATCCATAAAACTGAGTATTATTAAGAAATATATGAAAGCTGAGATTTGAACTGTTTGGATTTCATGTAAAGTTCTAAAGAACAAAATGAAAGCAAAGTGTGAGTGCTAATGCTATGTCTTTTCTTGAGAATTGGGATACATTATTTATTTTCATTTCATCCATTTCTTATTCATTTATGTGTGCGTTGTGTGCGTCTACATATATGTCAGGTTCTCAATCATTCCATGTGTAAAGCGAAAGGAGGAAAAGGAGGAAAGAAAGAGATCATTCTTGAAGAATGGAAGCATGTTACTAAAGGATCTAATTGCTACTTGTTCTTGTGATGGAAAATCTCATCCTATTCGTTGTTACTCTGCTGCTGAGATCATCAGAGCTGCCAACAACTATCCTTCTTGCATTATAGATAGATCACCCTTCGCAGAGTTGTACAGGGGTATTCTAGATGACCGAACAGTTATCATTAAGAAGTACAGAGATTGGGTCGACACTGACAGGGCTATTCGTGATATTATCATATCAATGCAGATGAGCTCCCATAAGAATTCCTTGAAATTATTAGGCTGCTGCTTAGAGTTCGAGATGCCAGCTTTGGTGTTTGAAAATGCAGGAAAAGGAGGTCTCAACTTTGATGGAAGTTTAGTAGCGGATAATGAATTATTACCATGGAAAACTAGACTGCGTATTGCAAAGCAGCTTGCTAGTGCACTTACATACCTACATACTGCCTTTCCAAGGCCCATCATTCATAGGCGTATGACATCCCACTGCATTTTATTGGACGATGACTATGTTCCCAAACTCTTCGACTTTTCATTGTCCCTAACCATTCCTCCTGACCAATTGTATGTTCAAGAAGATTTCGCAACAGGGAGAATGGGGTACCTGGACCCTACTTACGTAAAGTCTTGTCAAATTTCCGAAAAAACTGATGTTTATTGCTTTGGTGTGATTTTACTTATATTCTTGATGCGACGACAAGCTGCGTATTGGAATGATGCAGGAAATGTGTGGGAATACCTTACTAGAGATCCAAAACTTAATGTTTCTGATGGACAGATTCAAATAGAGATAATTGCGGACCCTAAAATCCTTGAGGAAGTCGGGGGAGATGAGCAAGCACAACAGCAACTGCAGGATTTCCTAGCACTGGCATTGTTGTGCATCCAAGAGGAAACTGAAGCGAGGCCAGATATGATTGATGTGGCCAAAGAACTTGTACGAATTGACAAGTCTATCTTGCCTTAGTTCAGTCTTTCACCTGTTAAAAGAGTCGATGCTAAGCTCTCTGTATTAGAACAATAATTATCCTTATGTAATCAAATTATCTGATTATAAATACTTAATTATGTGGATTTCAACAAGCAAGCAACTACCCTCTGATTAGATCCGTTTGAGTTTCATGTCAAGTTCAAAATGAATTTAATACTACCAGTGAAACGAACTATTCAAATGTTTCATGCTATTTGGACTAATTGGAATTGGAATGCCTTGAATTTGGAACTATGAAAGGTTTAATTTTGTTTAGGAAATTGGGATTTGTTGCGTTACATTACACGTTTGTATTTTTATTTTAATAAGTATCCACATGTTGTTTTGTAAGGAAAAAAACATTTCTTGAAAGCATCATGTGCAACTGGGAAAAAAAAATGGACAAAGAAAAAAGAAGATGACTCACACTAAAATCAGGGAAAATGAAGTCATCATTTCAAGCAATTCTCTCATCTCACATCTACTTTGTTTTTATCTTCTTTCTGACTATCTTCCCAATGCGTGTGGTCCTTTCTTGATATCCCAAATCGGCATGGGAATAGAGGGGAAGGCAACCTATTTTCTTTCTGTCGAAGGAATTGGAGGAAGCTTCCATGCATCTTCTTCCCAACAAATACATAAAACGGACAATTTCAGTTACACTACATGAGGTTTGGTGTAATTGCAATCAGACCTTACAGGTTTCTTTTATTTCATTTATACTCCTTATGTTACTTTCTTTTATTAAAAATCTAAGTTTGACGGATGAAAAATAGAGATATATAAAAGTGTTAGATTAATCTTTGAGATGTAAAATTAAAGAAAATATATAAAAATTTAATTAAAGTTTGGAAGAACAAGATTACATTACTTGCTTACATCGTCCTCTCATTTTCTCAGCAACTTTCCCACATTGTCATATCACGCCATTTTTGTCCAATCATTTTGGATTAATGTTTATTTAATCTTCGAAAATAAAATTTAAATTTCAACCACACCCAGAGCAGATTAGCATTTAATAGGGCTCGGCTAGAAGCTGTCCGGATTAGCATTTAAGAAGGATGTGATGGGTTGGTTATCCTTTAAAACAAGGGTCCACGCGGAATAGGCCACCTTTTGAAACATCTACAAGGATCATTTGCGACCAAAATTAGAAAATTTTGACCTTGTGATTTTTTGGGTTACTTGGTGTCGATTTCTGATAGTTTACAAAAGCAAGCATCCTATGCTCAATCAACCTCAGAGACTTTGACACAAGCTTTCAATCGAAATTTTCATGACTTTGATATCTTTAATTTTTTTCTCTTTTAAATGTGAAATAATGTTTATGACAATTTTTGTATCTGAAAAAGATAAATCTTTTTATTTTTTATTTTTTATATTTTGTTTTGAAGTTAGGTGGTGCACGTTATTTCCTACTATTCATAACCGGGCGTTGAGCTTGCACTCAGAGAGAGTGAGAGTAAAGAGCTAAACTGGTGCTTGAACACGAAATCTATAGTAGAATGGGAGGAGATATCAACATATTACTATTTTCTTGGTGCTAAACACAGAGATTTGAAGTTGAAAAAATGTCATTCATATTCTTGTAAGTTTTTCACTTTTTATTTTTATTTTTTCAGTTACCTTGAGGGTTTTTTTTTTTTTTCTGTTGGCATGGTAGGTGTTTGTGATTTTGTCACAATGACCCAAGTTGCTTGTATTTTTAATAGGGCTTCCTTTTTGGTTGTGCTTGATCATGAAGGGGGAGGAAATGGTATTTTGGCATGTACTTAGCAGGTGCTTTCTTCGCTATGTGTAAAGTAGAAAGAGCCACATAGAACATTTTAATATGATTCCTTAAGGTTGTAAACCAATGGTTTTACAAGCATATGGATAACCTTTATAATGTCATGAAACTCTCAAGTCCCAAAAACTACAACATGAATCATTAATGTTGTCAATCCTGGTTTTTACAAAAACTAAGAACAATTTTACTTTTTTAAGGTCCAACCAAACCTTAATGTTGTAATCGACATCATTTTCATTGTAAATTAGGCTATTACAATATTATGGATTAGAGTAAACCTTATTCTTGTAATTACGGGGCAAAAGCTCATAAATTCGAACCCAAATCTTGTAATCTAAAATATTAAGGATAGACTTTGCAATGTGACAGAACGTTTAGGTGCCAAACATTGTAATATAAGTCCTTAATATTGTAAACTCATGTTATTACAAGATTATGAATAAATTTTAAAATATTAGAGAACTCTCATGTGCCAAACATTTTAATATGATTCCTTGAGGTTGTAAACCATTGTTTTTACAAGCTTAGGGATAACGTTTACAATTGTATGGAACCCTAAGGTCCCAAAAACTGTAAACCGAGTCCTTAATGTTGTAAACCTCTGTTATTGCAATATTATGGATCAAATTTAAAATTTTAGAGAACTCTCATGTGCCAAACATTTTAATATGATTCCTTAAGGTTGTAAACCATTGTTTTTAGCTTAGGGATAACCTTTACAATTGTATAGAACCCTAAGGTCCCAAAAACTGTAAACTGAGTCCTTAATGTTGTAAACCTCTGTTATTACAAGATTATGGATCAAATTTAAAATGTTAGAGAACTCTCATGTGGCAAAAATTTTAATATGATTCCTTAAGGTTGTAAACCATTGTTTTTACAAGCTTAGGGATAACCCTTACAATTGTATGGAACTCTAAGGTTCCAAAAACTGCAACATGAGTCCTTAATGTTGTAAATCTCTGTTATTACAAGATTATGGATAAAATTTAAAATGTTAGAGAACTCATGTGCCAAACATTTTAATATGAATCCTTAAGGTTGTAAACCATTGTTTTTACAAGCTTAGGGATAACCTTTACAATCTTATGGAACTCTAAGGTCCCAAAAACTGTAACATGAGTCATAATATTGTAAATTCTAGTTTTTAAAAGAATAACAAACAATTTTACTTGTTTAAGGTCAAATCAAACCTTAATATTGTCATCGACATCATTTTCATTGTAAATTAGACTATTACAATATTATGGATTAAAGTGAACTTTAACATTGTAATCACAGTGCAAGAACTTGTAAATGCGAATCTGAATCTTGTAATCTACAAAATTAACGATAGACGTTTCAATTGTATGGAATGTTTATGTTTCAAATGTTGTAATATGAGTCCTTAATATTGTATACCCTTGTTATTACAAGATTATGGATAAAATTTACAATGTTAGGGAATGCTCAAAGATAGTTTGGCAATTGCCAATCAGTCAGTCATCATTTGCAAAGTGGAATGGCAATTGCAAAGTGGACCTTGGAGAAGGACAATTGGTCCTTATGCTTGTAATTGTAAATACAAGGGTTACAACATTAAGGATAACGTTTACACTATTATGGACATAGACCTCCATAATCTTGTAAACCATATCTTAACTTTGTAAATGGCAGAATTATAATTTAGTTTTTCTTGGATTTATATTAATATTTTATATCTATAAATGGGTAATTTTAGTTTTACATGCACCAATGATACACTTAAAACTAATTATTTTGATAAAATATTAAAGATTGATATAAAAAGTAGATAAATACAATAAAAGAACGAGACTACTAATGAAATTTTGATTTTTTGTACGTCACAAAATAAATCAGATTTGATATGAATCCGATGCGTAACGGATATGGATTGATAGGTGCAATCCGATAGTCCAAATATGATTCGATTCCGATAATTCGATTATAAATGAATTCGTATTTAGATCGAGGTATATTTGATCCGAATCCAACCCGTTTATAGGTCTACAATAAATGTTTCTTTTATCCCCAAAAAAAAAAAAAACACAGCGTTTCTTTAAAAATAAAAAAATAAAAAAATTACAAGTTTGTTCATTATAAAAGTATTGTTTTAAAATCAGTATTTTAGTTTTAAAAAAAAGAGAAAAACCACAACATCATGGGACTATGAACAGTTGCAGTGACGTTCTATTTGTTTCTCTTAAGTTCCTTTAGTTTTTTTAAATTTCTGTGTAACCAACATAATTATTTTATACCCAACAAATTTGTAGTTATTATTATTTTTGGTTACGAGTTAATAAAAAAAAAAATTGGTTTATTGGATTTATATAAAGTTTTAAAATTTGATTGGGTTAGTTGGGTTAAGATTACTTTATCTAAAATTAAATAAGACATTTCGACAAAAAAAATTTTGAATAAGACAAAGTTTCTTTCCTTAAAAAAAGGACAAAGATTAAATATTAAAAAAAACTTGGAACTCCAACAAAGGAAGAAAAGCTGGAACCGAGCAACTTGAACAACAGGTTTCATTTTTAAAAAAAAATCTGGGTGTATCGGTACACCAGGTGCCATGCAAGTGGAGTCAAGTCAAGTCAAGAGGTCTACCCTTCAGTTTGGCGCAGCTGCCATGCATCTTCCCAATTTGATTATACAAATTACCGTTGCTTGACCACGAAATCTGCGGCATACAGGGAGGAGATATTAACAAATTACTGTTTACTTTGGGGCAATCCGAGTCCAGTTCTAAGGAGCCTGTGTGCTAAACACAGAAATTTCAAGTGTAAACAATGGCATCCAAAACCTTGTAAGTTTTTTTTCCCTGGTTTTAATCGTTTAACAAAAATATATAGCTTTCCTTTCCTTCAAGGTTTTTTTAGTAAGTATTTTTTTTTTCTTCCATCCATAAAACTGAGTATTATTGTTGTTTCTCAGTTTGTAAGAAATATATGAAAGCTGAGATTTGATCTGTTTGGATTTCATGTAAAGTTCTAAAGAACAATATGAAAGCAAAGTTTGGGTGCTAATGCTATGTCTTTTCTTGAGAATTGGGATTAGATTATTTATTTTCATTTCATCCATTTCTTATTCATTCCTTTGTGCGTTGTGTGCGCTCTTGTGTGCGTCTACATATATGTCAGGTTCTCAATCATTCCATGTGTAAAGCGAAAGGAGGAAAAGGAGGAAAAGGAGGAAAGAAAGAGATCATTCTTGAAGAATGGAAGCATGTTACTAAAGGATCTAATTGCTTCTTGTGATGGAAAATCTCATCCTATTCGTTGTTACTCTGCTTCTGAGCTCATCAGAGCTACCAACAACTTTGATCCTTC